TAATAGCATGCAATTTCCAGACTGTTTGGTTTTTCTGACTTGTTTCTCCAGTCCGTAAAACTCCACATTATACATTACCTACCCTTGTGGTCATCTCTGATTTCCACCTATTAAAATGGAAAAACTGTTCCTCTTCCTAGGAAATGTCAATCTGTTTATTAGTGCTCTGAATTTTATTTGAATTTTATCTTCTCAGATCCTTCATCTGTCTCTTGCAATGATTAATTTTATGTATCAACTTGACTGGGTCGCTGATGCCTAGATATTTGGTTAAATAAGAGTCTAGGTGTTTGTGAGGTTTTTGCTGGATGAAATTAACATTGGAATCAGTAGACTGAGTAAACCAGATTGCCCTCTGTACTGTGGGTGGGCCTTCTCCAATCAATTGAAGACCTGAATAGAACAAAAAGGCAGAATAAGAGGGAACTCCTGCTGCCTGACTGCTTTAGCTGGACTTTAGTCTTCTCCAGGCTTCAAATTCTAACTGAAACATTGGCTCTTCTTGGATCTCGAGCCTGCTGGTTTTCAGCCTGGAGCTTAAGCTGTCAAGTCTCCTAGATCACATGCGTTTGACTAGGACTGAAACATACATCAGCTTTTCTAGGTCTACATCTTGCCAACTGCAGATCTTGGGACTTCTCAGCTTCCCTAATGTGAGTCAATTCCTTGCTCTGTTGGTTCCGTTTCTCTGGGAAACCTTGACTAAAACATCTCTTTTTTTTTTTTTTTGCATCATCACATTCTTCTCTACTAAACCATTTCCACTGGCAAATAAACAAGCTCTCGCATCTCTGCCTTTAACCTCAGTTTCTCCTTCTGTTTACTGTTCCACTTGTTCTTACTCCTTAGGTCTACTATTCTGCCTTTTTTTTTTTTTTAATTTCTAGGAGTGTGATGTGAAGGAAATGGGGTAGAAGGAAAGGAGGTAGAGATGGTACAGGAATTCAAAGCTTTAGGTGAGAAATCCAGGTGATAACTAAGCATATCACCTATTCTTAGGAAAATTCGAAATACACAGAAAATTTTCCTTTTGCCATTTATTTATCTGTAATTTTACTAAATTGACCTGAGGCAAACATTTATTTCCCTAGCTTAAGTCTATAGATTTTCCTTTTTCCTTTTCTTAGAGAAAAGGGTACTTAGTATCTCCTGATTCTTTTCCTTTTTTTCTATATTTAAGAAAATGTCCTCTGGACAAATAGAAAAGTTTTTAAACACCAAGATTTTCTAAGCTTGATTTTAAAACTGCTCATCATAGGACCTTGATGTAGCATGCCAGCATAGCCACAAAACGTATGTCGGCTCACGCACTAAGACCCCAACGACATAGGCAAGAGCAGAGAATGCGTAAACACACTGACATTTGGATTCAAACAAGGTGAAAATGTTATTTCCAGATGACATATTTTGCCTTAATACAAAGATATCATTGAAAGTCATGTTCAGAGGATGACACTGCTCAGTGTAGCAGACCCCATGAGTTGATGGCAGCTGTTTGACAAGTATTCAACTGTCTCTCTAAGCAGAAGTTACGTCTACTTTGTCTTTTGGAGAATGGTGTTAAAATGGCACCCATGTGTTGTGTTGGGTAGCTGATGATGCTCTTTTTGATTCTGAATATTACCTTTTGCCTCTACTTTTTATCAAGAGTAATGTTTTATAGAAGTGGTGGCAAGATGCCAGCAAATGAAAGAGATATAGTGACTAATTTATAAGCAACCTAATAGCTTGACTTACACTTGAGTTTCATTTCTATTGGTAAATGGATGTTAGGCAAAGAACTGATTCATATCCTGATACTTCTTCAGTGTTATCTTTATTGAGTTATCTTGCTCTTCTGGTCTGTTTTATTTACAAAATGAAACAGTACTTACCTCATCCTATTGTGAGGAATATAGACTACATGTATTTAGTATATAAAATATGTATAAGTATATAACCTAGTATAATCTCATATTTTAGTATATATTAAGAAGCTCAGTAAAATCTAATCAATATAGTTATAATAAAATTTTAAATATCCTTATGTGTTTAATCTTTGCTCAGTAAATAATTTTAATTTCATTAATTTGACAAAACATACATAAGATTTACCATCTTAATCAATTTTAAGCGTACAGGTCAATAGTGTTAAATACATTCATATTTTTGTGGAATCATCTCCATTAATCTGCAGAACTGATTTCATCTTGCAAAAGCTGAACCCTCTATACCCATTGAACATTAACTCCTCATGCCCTCTGATATAGCTTGAATATATGACCCTGCCAAATCTCACATTGAATTGCAATCCCCATTGTTGGAGATGTGGACTGGTGGGAGGTCATGGGTCACACGGGTGGATCCCTCATTTCTTGATGCTGTCCTCACAACAGTGAGTGAGTTAGTTATCAGGAAACCTGTTTTTTTAAAAGTATGTAGCACCTCCCCCACCTTCTCACCATGTAAGACACTCGCTTTCCCCATTGCCCTCTGCTATTATTTTCCTTTTTGTTTTCTTTCTTTCTTTTCTTTCTTTCCTTTATATATATTTTGAGATGGAGTTTCTCTCTGTTGTCCAGGCTGGAGTGCAATGGCAAAGTCCTGGTTCACTGAAACCTCTGCCTCTTGCGTTCTAGGGATTCTCCTGCCTCAGCCTCCCAAGTAGTTGGGATTACAGGCATGCGCCACCATGCCTGACTAATTGTTTTTTGTATTTAGTAGAGATGGAGTTTTACAATGTTGGTCAGGCTAGTCTCGAACTCCTGATTCAGGTGATCCACCAGCTTCGGCCTCCCAAAGTACTGGGATTACGGGGGTGAGCCACTGTGCAGGGGCCCTTCTGCCATTATTCAAAGCTTCATGAGGCCTTGGCAGATGCCAGCACCATGCTTCCTGTACAGCAGAACCATGAGCCTTTTTCCTTTATAAAGTACCCAATATCTGGTATTTCTTTTTAACAATGTAAGAACGGCCCAATACACTCTCATTCCCCAAACTCCTGCCAATCAGTAAACTTTGTCTCTATAAAGCTGACTACTCTTGGTACCTCGAATAAATGGAATTACACAGTTTGTCTTTTAGCTAGATTAAGAAAAATGACCTCAAAGCTTGTTCATGTTACAGCATATTTCAAAATTATTTCCTTCCTCTTTAAGGCTGAAAAATATTTCACGGTATGTCCATACCACAATTTGATTATCCGGTCATCTATTGATGAACATTTGGGTTGTTTCTACCTTTTGGCTATTGTGAATAATGACAATTTCAGTGAGGACTGAAACAATAGCTCTTCACCTGTGTCTGTATCTCTTCAGTCAGAAGAAGCAATTAGTAATCAGGGCACAGATACCTGATGTTTGGAGGTTAGGATCCTTATTGTTCACCCTGGCTCCCGCAAACCATGTGCAAGCTGCTTCAGGAAGAGCCACACAGCTTCCTACCATGGCTAGGATTGGGGATGAGTAGACACTACGCAATCAAAAACTGAAACTCACCAAAATAAACAATTTACTATGCAAGCCATCCCTTGGAAGTAGTAAGACGTGCACTTCGTATTTTCTTCATATTTATTCAATTCAGAACTTCAAAACAGTGACATCAAACAGATTCTGCCAGTACAGTTGCTGTCTAGGTGGGGAAACACATTTCTGGAGCTTTCCACTCTGCGGTCTTCCCGGAGTCATTTTCTCAGTAACTATTTTGGGAAAAATAAATTTAATAAAAATAAGCAACTTGCATTTTTTTCCTTCACATTTATTTAATTAATTCATTCATGGATTGAAGGTGTGCCATTTGATAGGCCTCCAGGACTCTGAGGCAAATAAGTAATACTGCCTTCTGGTTTCTAGAAGTTTTAAGTCTAATAAGAGAGAAAGATAAGCAAACAACTGCAACACTGTGTGAATAGAACTTTAATTGAATACTGCAAAGGTTGAGGCGACATGCCTTCCTCTTGGGTGTGAGGGGTAGATGTTAGAGAGCAGAAAATATTTCATTTAATGCACTATCTCCTACATATAAGTAATTGGTAAAACAAGGATACCCCTTCTTCTGCCTTTCCACTTGGGCTGCTTTGCCATCTCCAAGATCCTGTAAAGGAAGCAAACACATATTAAATGTGGGAAACTGGGTAAAACATTAGTTTTTACTTTTAATGTAAAAGCTTTTACATTCTGTTTAATCTCTTTACCTGTCTTTTTCGATAGTCCACTGACTTAAGCTATATCTTTTCTGTTTAATTCTAGTCTTTGTTTCTCATGCTCATGAATTTATTCGTCAATTTATTAATTCTATAAACGTTTGTTGAGCACCTAGTATGCTCCAAGCACAATGCTAGACATTTTGCTACTATCTGGCAATAGAATGGCAATAAAGACAACTTGAAAATATTCTCTGTATCATGCAGCTTGTAGTCTAGTGAGAAATATAGACATTAAATAAGTAAATACAAGATGAATGCCATGTTTTACTTTCTGTCTCTGACACAAATCAGACACATTGCAAATTAAATGTTTTTAGAGGTTCTGTGTTCTAATGGACTCAAAAAATAGGACAAGTATGATTCTCTTTAAAAATTCCATTGAATGCTGCTAACTTTGTACCACCAGCCCATAAATACATTATTATTATTTTTATCCGATTTCTACATCTTTCCTGAGGTGGCACCTTGTCAATTGAGAAAGGCCTTTGCAGCTCAGTTTGCTATATTCTTTATTCTTCCACAAAGGATGGGCATGTAATCTGTTCAGAGCCTCACTGGCTCCTATTCTTGTTATCCTGGACCAAATCTCGTTTTATACAAGGCCCAGGAATCAGGTCTTCACTAGAGGCAGCTTTGGAGAGCTTCTGACATCTCTGTTTCACAATGTTCTACATACGCTCAGTTTTTGTCCACTCACCGGGGACAGAAGCAGAACATGGTGCGACATCATGAACGGCATTATTTAGCAATGAGTGAGGAGGACACCCCTAGAGAAGTATGTAATTTTAAACTGGAAAAAAAAAAATGATCAAGATCCATGGGTGTGAAGAAAACAGCAGCAGCAGATGTTGTAAAACACAGGTAAGAAAGAAAGATGACAGCTGAGAATGAATTCATTTTCCTCCAAAGCCTTATGTCCTTACTCAATCATGCCAGATGGAGAAGCAATCTCTAAGACATAAGGTCCTGTTGGTCTCACTGCCCTTATCACAAGAGAACTAGTTAAAAATGCTTTCCCAAAGCAGTATAATGATAAAAGTAAATGCAATGTTTCATTTATTAATCAAGATTAGATTTATCTCACTCATTTGAGACAGCAGGCTGTGATGGAAAATAGCAGACTTTGGGTTACAGAGACATGGCTTTGAATCCTAATTATTTTAATTGCTACCTGAATGACCTTGATGGAATTTTTCTTTCTGAGACTTGGTATTCTCACTTACAAAAGAATAAGAGCTCACATTGATTGAGGCCTTACCTTGAGCTGGACATTATGCTAATCAAATTGTTTTATTGTCCCATTTAATTCTTTTTTAAAAATATTTGCCCTATGTACTCTTTGCTGGTTTCTATAAAAGAAAATAAAATAGAAGATAATTTAAGGAGTTTAATTAACTTGCGAAAGTCAGCAACCAAATGTAGAAGTTAGGGGATTGAGTGATCCAGGAAGTTGTGCCTGAGTTCAAATCCCAGATTCATCATATTAGATTGAACATCTTTTTAAACCTCCTTGTACCACAATTTCTTCATAGATAAAAGCAGGTATTGAAAATAGCTGCATTATATAATGTCTATGGAAGTAGATGTGATAGTATAAGTGTTTTTTTTTTTTTTTAGTTTCATTCCTAGAATATAACTGTTCAATATGTTAATAGTTTTAGTAGTTTATTATTGTTACTATTTTTATATTGAATCAATCAGTGTCTAAGAAATATCTAAATTTAAATCTAGGTCTGTTGCCCTTGAAAGCCCACGCCATACTCACCTACACTGGTGAGTGTTCTTGTTGAGGGTTAAATGCTAGAGTAATTAGTGGAAATCTTGGCAGTTATTAGGTGCTAAATATTTTGATTCCTCCTAGACTCTCTTTATTTTCCCTTCTAGCTGACAAGAGAATAAAATCTTGGATTTGATGAGGGCTGCACATCTCTCTTTTAAGTTTTTCGATAAATTTCTCCAATTTCCATTGTATTCTTCAGGTGTCTGTGTTCCGTTTTGTTTTCCAAACCATTTGCTGGATTTTTTATCTATTCTACCTTGTAAATATTGATGATATTCTGGTTTACATACTTGGTACAATTCTCTTCTTTTTGTTTTCTCATACCAATTATATATTAATTGCTCTGTCAAATACACAATAAATATGAACTGAGTAAGATACTTCATTCAAAAGGATTATTGAAAATGGTTGGGGGAAGGGACTATTGTCATAGAAAAATGAGGGCCATTGCAGTAGGGAGAACATTAAAACCAGAAAATATGAGTTTATCAAAAGTTAGAAGGGTTTTGTTTTTGTTTTTTTAATGAGAAAGAGTAAACAAAGATCAAAAGAACCAAGTGTGGAAGTGAGATGAACAGTGTCATGATTAAGCAGATAAGGGAGTGCTTTCTTGAGGCCAGCCTATTGTGAGTGACTGTTGAAGATGGGATGTATGTTGTCATAGACTAAGGTTACTAAAAGATAAAGGACTTGGAGGAAACAGAATCTTAAGCAGAGGTTGGTTACTATTTTGTTTAGATTGATCAGTGGGGACAAAGAATTTACTAATTCTTTATCTGGCAAAGGATGGGAATTTGGAAGAACCTTGTCTGATCTTGTCATAGGTAAATAAGGAAGCATATTTGAGTCTCATCCAAGTCACTTAGTAAGGGTGGTTCTTGTCAGTAAGCCATTTCCAAAAACATAAAAAGTGAAAAGATTTTTTGACCTTCTGTTTTTCAGGATCACAGAGCTCGGGTCAATTTCAACAATGTCTAATTTAAAACATTATTTCCACATATGCCTAAGTATGTCAGAAAGACATGTTAAAAACTTAAGGCAAATTTAACTTAATAGAGTTTAATTGAGTAAAGAATGATTCATAAATCAGACAGCCTCCACAACCAGGATAGACGCACAGCAACTTGAGGGCTGCTACGTGGTCAGATAACATTTATGGACAGAAAAAGTAGTGTGATGTATGACGTAGAGAAAATGGAAATGGGGTACAAAAGCAGCCAGACTGGTTACAGTTCAGTGGCTGCCTTTTTGAACATGGTTTGAACAGTTGGCTGCCTGTGATTTGACCACTCTGTGATTAGCACAAGGGTAGGTTATAGTCTGTTTATATATCCAGTTGTTAGAGTTCATTATGTATGGAGAGAACTGTTGGCCAAACTTAAAATATGTAAGAGGGCAGCTTTAGGCTAAACTTTATTTAATAGACATCACAACCCTGGAATGACACAAACAGTTCTATTCAACATTTCCAAAATTAAAATCATCTTTACTGATAAAATTTATATTATTTTTGGATTTTTTTTCTTTTCTTAGTGGCACCTAGTTACCTAACATAGAAATGTGAAAATGAAAAGGAAGGAAAAAGGAGAATGGCTTTAGCTAATCCATCCTCTCCTGAGTGTCTCATACAGTCAACCTTCCGTAACTACAGGTTCTGTGTCCATGGGTTCTGCATTCACAAATTAAACTACAGATTTAAAGTGTTCATGGGGAAACAAACATAAATCCAATATAATTAAAAATAATACAAATAATATATAATAGAGTATAACAACTATTTACATAGCATTTACATGATATTAGGTATTATAAACACAGTAATCTAAAAATCATTTCAAATATACAGGAGGATATACATGGTTCATATGCAAACACGATACAAACCTATAAAAGGGAATTGAATGTTTGTAGATTTGGAAATGGGGTTCAGCTTCCTGGAACCAATCCTCCAGGCATATTGAGGGAAGACTGTATTTAACATATGAATTATTATAGATGAACAAGAAGGAGATAGGCAAGTAAAAACACACTTTTAAATTGAGCAAGAAGTATGTGGAAACAAATAACTAGAGTATTATAATAGTAGGAAGCTCAGTAATAAACAGACTTTTTCTAGAAATATATATTGAGCTGGGCATTTTGTAATTTTTATAAAACCTTTTTTCTTACAGAAAATATAATATATTCTTATCAAATATATTTAATAAAAAGCATATATACACATAGAGATGTGTAATAAAACAATATCACTTTACATATGTATTTTGTAACTGCCATTCTTCTAGTTAAGAATGTGTAATGCCTATTTTCCAGTGACATGTAAAATTATTTAGTGGTATCATTTTGAGATTTCGTGCTTTGTTAAAATACAGCCAGAGGGGGCTGGAGCAAGATGGCAGAATAGGAACAGCTCCTCTCCAGCTCCCAGCGTGAGCAACACAGAAGACGGGTGATTTCTTTTTTTTTTTTTTTTTGAGACAGAGTCTCACTCTGTCACCCAGGCTGGAGTGCAGTGGTGTGATCTCAGCTCACTGCAAGCTCTGCCTCCCGAGTTCATGCCATTCTACTGCCTCAGCCTCCTGAGTAGCTGGGACTACAGGTGCCTGCCACCGCGCTTGGCTAATTTTTTGTATTTTTAGTAGAGATGGGGTTTCACCGTGGTCTTGATCTCCTGACTTTGTGATCTGCCTGCCTCGGCTTCCCAAAATGCTGGGATTACAGGCATGAGCCACTGCGCCAGGCCCAAGACGGGTGATTTCTGCATTTTCAACTAAGGTACCAGGTTCATCTCACTAGGGAGTGCTGGACAATCAGTGCTGGTCAGCTGCTGTAGCCCGACCAGCAAAAGCTGAAGCAGGGCAAGGCATCGCCTCACCTGGGAAGCGCAAGGGGGAGGGGAATCCCTTTTCCTAGCCATGGGAACTGAGACACACAACACCTGGAAAATTGGGTAACTCCCACCCCAATACTGTGCTTTACCAAGGGTCTTAGCAAATGGCACACCAGGAGATTATATACCACACCTGGACGGGAGGGTCCCATGCCCGCGGAGCCTCCCTCATTGCTAGCACAGCAGTCTGCGATCTAATGGCAAGGCAGCAGGAGGCTGGGAGAGGGGCACCCACCATTGCTGAGGCTTAAGTAGGTAAACAAAGTTGTTGGGGAGCTCCAACTGAGTGGAGCCCACAGCAGCTGAAGGAGGCCTGCCTGTCTCTGTAGACTCCACCTCTGGGGACAGGGTACAGCTAAACAAACAAACAAAAGCAGCAGAAACCTCTGCAGATGCAAACGACCCTGTCTGACAGCTTTGAAGAGAGCAGTGGATCTCCCAACATGCAGGTTGAGATCTGACAACAGACAGACTGCCTGCTCAAGAATATTCAACATTCTTAAAGAAAAGAATTTTCAACCCAGAATTTCATATCCAGCCAAACTAAGTTTCATAAGTGAAGGAGAAATAAAATCCTTTACAGATAAGCAAATGCTTAGAGATTTTGTCACCATCAGGCCTGCCTTACAAGAGACCCTGCTGAAGTAGGTAAACAAAGCACAGGAGCCCAACTGAGTGGAGCCTACAGCAGTCGAAGGAGGCCTGCCTGTCTCTGTAGACTCCACTCTGGGAAGGTGGTACAGCTAAACAAACAAACAAAAAGCAGCAGAAACTCTGCAGATGCAAACGACTGTCTGACAGCCTTTGAAGAGAGCAGTGGATCTCCAACATGCAGGTTGAGATCTGACAAACAGACAGACTGGTCTGCTCACAAGAATATTCAACATTCTTAAAGAAAAGAATTTTCAACCCAGAATTTCATATCCAGCTAAACTAAGTTTCATAAGAAGAGAAATAAATCCTTTACAGATAAGCAAATGCTTAGATTTTGTCACCATCAGCCCTGCCTCTATAAGAGACCCTGAAGGAAGCACTATAAACATGAAAGGAACAACTGCTACCAGCCATTGCAAAACATGCCAAACAGAGACTCGATGCTAGGAAGAAACTGCATCAACTAACTATGCTAAAAATAACCACTTATTACTGGCAATGACAGGATCACGCTCACACATAACAATATTAACTTAA